CACCTAGGACAAAGGGCATCTGAGGTCAAGTTGTGCAACGGCTGAAAATATCAAATTGGATTAATTGAAAAAGTTGAAGTCCAATTGGAACCCAAACTTGGGTCATAGATGCAACACGGGAACCTTCAAATAATAATAATAATGACCAAGGTCAAAGGTCAATCTTTAAAGATAATCGCGAAAGCAGATGAGACGTGCGGTTCGAGAACCAGCTTGTTCATGAATGGCATGAAAGTGGCTGGTACTTGGCATAAATTGCGAATGTAATATTGTGGTAAATTCGTAAGGTCACTGTGATGAGTTAATGGTTTCTGCATGATAATTTCAGGTAAACATGATATTTGAGTTAATCGACAAACTTAGGCTGAGGGGTTTCAACAGCAATGCTGTTATTTGTGGATATGTTGAAAAATTGAAACGTGTGCACTTCGGAAATTTATTGCCGAATTGAAAACGTGTTCAATATGGTTTATTCAAAGTACTCTTGTAGGTTTTCGAGGTTAGGCTGAAGTTAACATCAGATTTTACGGGATGGCCCCAGATTGATTGTTGGCCTGTTTTACGGCCGTTTTCATTACGCGGTACTCGATGGTACTACGGGGTTATCACGAGTTGGCCACAAAGTGCTCACGGACTACACGTAGTACTCTCGAGCTGGCACCGTAGTTACCACTGACACCACGTAGTAGTCTCGAGCTGGCGCAAAGCCATCACGGGATGCAATCGGGATGGCCAACGAGATGACGCAGGCGTGCAGTCTGTGAATTCTAGGAAATGGACATGAGCACGGGTTTGTCCGGTGGTGTTTCCGAGGTGGCCACGGATTACTCATGAAGTAAAATGGGTACCACAAAATAAAATGTGCTGGCATAAAAAAACGGACAAAAACGGAGACCACGGACACTGTTGAAAAAAAATTGCATTTCCGAAGTGACCTTGAACTGGTTTTGGATTGGTGTGAGAGGGGCATCAATAAAATATAATACCTGATTATTAATTAACCCTGACCTTCCCAACTCCATCAAAATCCATTCCCCCATTTTTGGGGATTATGGTAGGAAAGCCATGAGTACCAAGTCCATCACAATTCACCGGATTTGTTCCTAAAGCAATTTAAATGTGAAGCTGGGTCAGTGATGGATTTTGGTGGACTTGGTCCAATACTTTAAGTAAGGGACTTACAGTCAAACAAATAAAAAGAAGAAAACTTGTACTTTTGTGAAAATGAAAAGACAAAAAAAAAGATGTAACACGTCTGAAATCTGCATTAAATGTTTCTGTAGTCCTGCGATTGCCTATCAAGCTATCTTTTGTTTGGTTATCCCTGTGAATTTATTGTCTTATATTTGATGTAAAAACACGGATTGAAGACTCTACAATCCTTATTAGATAGCTTGGCCTCTGTGAAATCAATGGGGGGGGGGGGGGGGGGGGGGTGGGGGGGGTGGGGGGGTGTTCGTACATACTTTCAATGGGGGCGCTGTTCCAATCCGACTATTATCAACATTATATTACAGCATAGTGTAGAAATAACCCTGTAACCCCAGCTGGCTCTGACAATATTCTGTGCACCTGGGAATATTATATGATTATCATAATTATTAGAAAGGTCATAAGGAATCCAAATTTAGATGACTACAACTTTTTGTGTCGGAACATTTTGAAGTGTGAGGACCTTTTGACCTGAAGTTGGACCTTGTGGATCATGTGACCTTGAGACAAACTTGGATGAAAATTTACCCTAACTTGTTTTCTACAAAATATGCAAACATGGGAAAATAATATTTTTTGTTTTTGCTTTCTAGCTCATCTCAAAGTTGACATGCATGTTCCTGCTGGAAAAATGTGATATTCCATGTACATTTTTATGTACTATTTACATGTACCTTAATTTTTGCCTCCCCAATACCATCATGAAATACTAACAGCCGGTTTCTCAGCTACCATTTTATCTGCTTCATGCTCCAAATGAATGTTTGAATGTTGTAACACCAAGCCTTCGCATTTAGTAAACACATATTTTCTCAATTTCAATTCCTATTTAAATATGTTTACTCCTAGGAGTTGCAGTAGACACAACATTGCGAGCAGGATGGACAGCTCTAATGTACGCTGCTTTCTATGGACGAATTCAAATCTTGGAGTTTCTTTTGGAAAGAGGAGCTGATGTTAACTTTAATAAAGCATCATGTAAGCATAATGATAATAATAATGATATTAATAACCAAAAAATATACCATAATGGGAGACATTCCATTAGACTTGTGCAAAACAAAACTCTGACTTTTCTGACCCCTAACTCCTATTTTACCTTACTAATTGGACTACGAGCAATCCATCTAGCCTGTTTGTGATGGTAAAAATTTGCATCTAAAAAGGAACTGAGGCATTAAGGAGATATTGAAATGTCTCCATAATTCCACATGTCCCAAAGGTATAACTTCTGATGCTAAAGTGTCTCCCAAATATACAGTAACTGACACTGATACCCTCGGAGAGACATTTCCATGGACTTGTTCACAATTTTCTCCATCGTTAATGACACCAATCCTAAATTTACGTGATCCTACCCCCCACAAATTTTGATATAATTTTGGTTTGGACTACAAGCATTCGATCTAGCCTGTTGGCCACATTAAAATTCTGCCTCTAAATAGGAGTTGTGGCATTAGGGAGACACTACAATGTCTTCCTAATGCATCCAAGTTGTCTTCCAAAGGGTACTTTTTACAGTGGTAATAATGATAATAATATATGCACGTTTTTCACCAGTTTTGTGCTGAAGGCGCTACATCAGGGAGCCGAGATTGAATTTATTATATCTGTGGGTGTTTATTGATTTGTTAAAAATATGTTTTTTATGTAAAATGTAGCCAAACCGCCGACTGAAGCACAATCTCGCTGATCATAATTAGCACTTCCTAACCAAACTGAACAGAACTAAATTGATCAGTTCAGTATGTTTGGAATTAGTCTGTGGGACGAGAGGCTGAAAACCACTTCAGTTTTCGAGACGGGCGATCTGGTTTGCAAACTTTATAAAACTTTTCAGACATTCAGAGTATGGTGTACTCTATCAAAAACATTTTGTTTGCTTGGGAATGAGAAAGTCTGGGATAAAAATGCCGAGAATTCTTCATGAGAAAACAACTTAAGAAACAGCGCCCTCTATTGACATAGCCAGAAACCCTTCACACGCAATGCTTGCAGGCTGTATGGTACTGTAGCGGGATCCTATTGGGCTCTTATCCACCAAGTCTAGTGAAACGCAAGAAAAGCTGCAGCCAGATGCTTTATACATGGGTCATGATGAGTTACCCAGAATGCCATGCCCACTTTCTTCACAAGATTCTGTGAAGCTCATCAGCGTGTCCCAGCGCCTTGTTTGCAGGGCGGGGGATACGAGCGAACGCAACTGGCAGTCCCGAACATCACAAGGGAGCCTCCCTAGCAACAGTATTTCTAGGCAACCAGGTTGGAATGTGACAATGGGCATGCACCTGTGGCTCAAATTCCAACATTATTGGCCATCACTCCAGTTGAGCTTCGGGTGTAAGGAACGTCCTATTCATGAAAAGCAACCAATGGTGTATTTATTTGCCAGGAACCCGTTTATTTAATTGGCTGAGATATTATCATCACTGTTCACCGGCAAAGAACCCTCCATTTTATAGTCCCTGGGATAGGGCCATTTAATCGCAAAATTTTATGATTAATCTTAATATTATTTTCTGTTGTCGGGTACCTTGGGACATCCGAAAATGCCGCTCTTAAGTTGCACAGCTGGTATTTTTGCCTTCCAGCTCCCAAAAACTGATATTGTGGTAGCTTATTTTTTGAGAATTGGCTAAAATCATATTTGGGCCTGTGCTCTCTCAAAAATGGTCCCGTCGTGACCTGTTTGCACGTTTTACCATCCTGATAGGATGGGTAAACAAGAAAGAATATGGTTGGTCCTAAGTTTAGGCCAAAAAAAAAGTCTCGGTTTCTGGTATGGAGCTTGCCCCAAAGTGGTGCGGCGACGCAGTTTTTTTTTTTTTTTTTTTACCAGTTTTTTTTTTTTTTTTTGGCTTCAAATGTCGGCTGATGACTGCAAATGGTGCCCGACTAAACTTAGTGCAAATATATGGGAGTCCAGAGAGGCCACATAAAGCTTATTCTCGATCATAACCCCATCTAAAAACACGTTAAAATTGTGCAGCAGCAGGATTCCAGTCAAACCAGTGAGTTTGGCGGTTTTGAGACATCATCTTGTATTGAAAAAAAAACTTTTTCATTTTGCCGACGCGCATGGCTGCGGTGACGCGCGCGCATACCAGAAACCGGAGACTTTTTTTTTGGCCTTATCCGTATTCGTGTTCCTAGGGCATATATTGCTTTGCGGACACCTCCCAAATCCTTTGACTTTGCCCTGTTTGGGGACAGAAATGAAATTGAAACTCACACTTTTTTTAAAGATACACACTTTTTTTATAATTTAAAAACTGCCTCAGACCACAAGCTTTAATTTAAGTGGTAGAGAAGCTTTCTGTCTTGAAAATTGGGCTCGCCATGGCCATTTTTGCTTCCCCTACCCCTAAATTACTCAAATCAAAACAACTGTATAGTGGGTGGCATAGCAAACCTATTGTGCATATTATAACAGTGCCAAATGTGGTACAAAAATAGACCAATATCATATCAACAAATGTGGATATTGGATCATCGCAGATCTGGCCCTTGAGGGCTGTGGGAGCCATCATTTTAAAAATGCTGAGTCATGCTGAGTCAGCACTATTTTGTAATGCGTTTTCGTTCAATATGGAGGCTAACATATTTTTCTGCCTTTTTTCTACACACTTGGATGCGAGACAGGCATAAACAATTTGTTTTTCTTTCAATACCTCATTGAAAAAACTTAGTAATGCCTGCCAGCTGATGTCAGGCCTGGCTACACCTACAAGAATTGTACTGCACTGTAATGTAGAATACAGTTGTATATACAGACCTACACAAATTAAGTTGAGAATCAAGTTCTGACTCGCCAAAATGACGTCCTGGCAATGTTTAGGACCTTCCACTATCATGGCAGGAATGGGTCTGGCAAAAACCTTGTCCCACAAATAATTGATTTTAATCAACTGATTTTAGTAACATAAAATGCTGAATCAGCATTTTAAAAAATGTTTCAAGCTTTGGTGAAAAAAAACCAAATCTAGATCACTTTCATCAAGTTCAAAGTATCGGTATACAGACATGCTTGTAAAATGCAGTGATGGTGATTTCTTGTTATTTATGGGGTGTCGAGGGACAAGCTGGTTAAAAGTTGGATGGGTGGGCGTGGGGGGGGGGGTTTGGACTAAGAACAATATCTATGCAAATTCCTAATATGTTGCATTTGTTGTCTATTATGTGGAAATAAGTGAAAACATGTCATGGGAACACCATTTAGGGAAAACTTGTGGAGCACATTTGCTAAAAGAAAAGGCCTATATGCACTGGGATAATATTTTTCAGGGGGGGGGGGGGGCAGAACATGAACCCACCTTCCCCACGATCCTCCCTCCCCCGGGGCCAGAACATGAACCTGCCTTCCCCCACAATCCTCCCTCCCCCGGGGCCATGCCCCACTTTACCGACCGTGTCCAATCTGTCCACAGAAAAATGGATTGGTTTGTACATGTACAGTGTATGTTATTAATTACACATTTTTAGTGCAGCCCGGGCATGTCGGTCAGTGACAGGTCCAACTTAACAAAGTCTAACAGCTACAGAGACATTTTGAAATTGCTTCCACACAACAAAAATAAGTAAAAACGAATAAAACCAATGAATTATGACATTTCTGTTGGTTTGGGAAAAAAGGATGACAAAATGTGGCATAGTAGTGGGCCCCTGCAAACTGACCTCCCCCAACGGTGGGGTGGGGGGGGGGGGGGAGGAGGGGGAACTGGGCCATGCCCCCCCCCTTTGTTTTTAGTTACGGCAGCTATTGCGTACACCACCCACAAAACTCAACAAAAACAATAAATCTGTACCCCCTCCCCTTGCTTTCCATATTAAACACAATTTGGTTTTTTTGTGGGGGGGAATTTAGAAAAAAATGTTTTCAAAAATTTCTGCCCCAAATTTAATATGAAAAGCATGGGGAGGGGGTGCACATTTATTGTTTTTGTTGAGTTTTGTGGGTGGTCTATGCAATAGCTGCCTTTTTAGCAACGTAACTAAAAAGAAAGAGGGGCATGGCCCTGTTAAACCCCCCCCCCCCCCCCCCCCCCCCCCCCCGCCCCTCCCCTTTAATCCGCCGTTGGGGGAGGTCAGTTTGCGGGGCTCAACCCCACTTTGCTACTTTTATCATCCATTTGTCCCAAACCAACCAAATGTCATATCTCTAATTCATTGATTTCATTTGCTTATTTTGTTGTGAGGAAGCAATTTCTAAAAGTTTCTGTAGCTATAAGACTTTGTTAAGTTGGACCCGTATGACCAACATGCCTGGGCTGCACTAAAAACGTGTAATTAATGAAATACAAGTATAAACAAATTCACTTTCTATGGACAGATTGGACACGATCGGGAATGTGGGGCATGGCCCGGGGGAGGGAGGATTGTGGGGGGGGGGGGGGGGGAGGCGGGTTCGTGCCCCCCCCTGAAAAAAATTATCCCAGTACCGTATAGGCCTATTCCTTTTAGCAAATGTACATTGTACCTAAATGTGCTATGTAAGTTTTCCCCAAATGGTGTTCTCATGACATATTTCCACCCATTTGCACATAAAAGACTACAAATGCGCAACTCAGCAACTGCTGAACTGATTAATAATCACTTCGCTACCATCTGCAATCAACTCCCCACCCTTAATACTGTCAATATCCCCACTTATCTGCCAGCAGAGTCACCACCACCAACAGTTTACCGCTGTCAAACACTCAAGCTTTTAGGCCCCCCCCCCAAAAAAAAAGTCTCCAGTTTCTGGTATGGAGCTTGCCCAAAAAGTGGTGTGGCGACGCGGCTTTTTTTTTTTTTTTACCTTTTTTTTTTTTTGCTTCAAATGTCGGCCGATGACTGCAAATGGTGCTTATTCTCAATCATAACCCCATCTAAAAATACGTTAAAATTGTGCAGCAGCAGGATTCCAGTCAAACGAGTGAGTTTGGCGGTTCTGAGACAACATCTTTCATTGAAAAAAAAAACTTTTTCATTTTGCCGAC